GAACCGCAGTGCACCAGGCTTCCCTGTCCTTCACTGTCTCCCGGAGCTTGCTCAAACTCATGTCCATTGAGTCGGTGATGCCATCCAACCATCTCATCCTCTGCTGCCCCCTTCTCCTGCCCTCAATCTTTCCTAGAATCAGGGTCTTTTCCAATTAGTCAGCTGTTCACATCAGGTGGCCAAAGCACTGGAGTTTCAGCATCAGCCCTTCCAATGAACTCAATTCCTTTGAATTCCAATCAATTCAATTCTGAGTTTATTTCTTTTAGCATTGACTGTTTGATCTCCTTGCAGTCCAGGGACTCTCAAGCGTCTTCTCTAGCACCACAATTTCAAAGCATCAATTCTTCGGCACTCAGCCTTCTTTATGGTCCAACTCTCACATCCATACACGACTACTGGGAAAACCATAGCTTTGACTATATAGACCTTTGTCAGCAAAGTGATGTCTCTGTTTTTTAGTATACTGTCTAGGTTTGTCATACCTTTCCTTCCAAGGAGCAAGTTTCTTTTAATTTTACTGCTGCAGTCACCATGCGCAGTGATTTTGGAGCCCAAGAAAGCAAAATCTGTCACTGTTTCCACTTTTTCCCCTTCTATTTGCCATGAAGTGATAGGACTGGATGCCATGATCTTAGTTTTCTCAATGTTGAGCTTTAAGCCAGCTTTTTCACTCTTCTCCTTCACCTTCATCAAGAGGCTCGTTAGTTCCTCTTTGCCTTCTGCCATTAGGTTCTTGTCATCTGCATATCTGAGGTTATTGATATTTCTCCTGGCAGTCTTGATTCCAGCTTGTGATTCATCCAGCCTGGCATTTTGCATGTTGTACTCTGCCTAGAAGTTAAATAAGCAGGGTGACAGTGTACAGCCTTCATGTACTCCTTTCCCAGTTTGGAACCAGCTTGTTGTTCCACGTCCAGTTTTAACTGTTGCTTCTTGACTTACATACAGGTTTTTCAGGAGGCAGGTAAGGTGGTCTGGTATTCCCATCTCTTTAAGAATTTTCCACAGTTTGTTGTGATCCACATAGTCAAAGGCTTTGGCATAGTCAATAAAGCAGAAGTAGATGTTTTCCTGGAACTCTCGTGCTTTTTCGATGATCCAACAGATGTTGGCCATTTGATCTCTGGTTCCTCTGCCTTTTCTAAACCCAGTTTGTACATCTGGAAGTTCACAGTTCATGTACTGTTGAAGCCTGGCTTGGAGAATTTTGAGCATTACTTTGCTAGCGTATGAGATGAGTGCAATTGTGCAGTAGTTTGAACATTCTTTGGCATTGCCTTTCTTAGGGATTGGAGTGAAAACTGACCTTTTCCAGTCCTGTGGCCACTGCTGAGTTTTCTAAATTTGCTGGCATAATGAGTGCAGCACTTTCACAGCATCATCTTTTAGGATTTGAAATAGCTCAACTGGAATTCCATCACCTTCACTATCTTTGTTCGAAGTGATCGCTTCCTAAGGCCCACTTGACTTCACACTCCAGGATGTCTGGTTCTAGGTGAGTAATCACACCATTGTGGCTATCTGGGTCATTAAGATCTTTTTTATATAGTTCTCCTGTGTATTCTTTTCACCTCTTCTTAATATCTTCTGCTTCTGTTAGGTCCATACCATTTCTGCCCTTTGTCCTTTATTGTACCCATCTTTGCATGAAATGTTGCCTTGATAGCTCCAATTTTCTTGAAGTCTTTCTCTAGCCTTTCCCATCCTGTTGTTTTCCTCTATTTCTTTGTATTGTTCCCTTAAGAAGGCTTTCTTATCTCTCCTAGCTATTCTCTGGAACTCTGCATTCAGTTGGATATGTATCTTTCTGTTTCTCCATTGCCTTTCACTTCTCTTAGCTATTTGTAAGGCCTCCTCAGACAACCACTTTGCCTTCTTACATTTCTTTTTCTTTGGGATGGTTTTGGTCAGTGTTACAAACCTCTGTCCATAGTTCTTCAGGCACTCTGCCTATCAGATCTAATTGCCTGAATATATTCATCACCTTCACTGTATAATCTTAAGGTATTTGATTTAGGTCTGAGCTGAATGGCTTAGTGGTTTTCCCTAATTTCTTCAATTTAAACCTGAATTTTGCAATAAGGAGCTCATGATCTGAGCCACAGTCAGCTCCAGGTCTTGTTTTTGTTGACTGTATACAGTTTCTCCATCTTCATCTGCAAAGAATATTGTCAGTGTAATTTCAGTACTGACCATCTGGTGATGTCCATGTGTAAAGGCATCTCTAAAGGCAATGCTACCTCAGTAATAATGAGCACAGTGACTGCCCAGATCTTGGTTTTAATACCATGCTCCACTGAAAGGAAGCAGGACTGCTTGGGTAAATGGCCAGTTCTAGGGCGGGAGCAACAAACATGTAAGATAAGCCTGGAGCATCCTGTTCCAGAAAGTAAAGAAATACTCAAAGAATGTTGCAGATATGTCAGAAGGACCCAGAAGCCAGCCTAAATGCATGCCTACTGGCCATATCTCATTTAAGCAACAAAATAATGTTGATACCAGACTACAACTGGTTGAATAAAATAGGAATCTATGAGTTTATAAATTAAAGAAGGGAACATTCTTCCTTAAAATATAAGCTCCACTAATGCAGAAGAGATGGTAGAAATAATCACCAGTGATGGCTGTTGTAGGGCAGGTGATGTAGGAAGCAGTCATCAGCAGATGCTAGACTGGTGGTCGGAGGGTCAGTGAGGAACAGGATATTGGCGTGGTGTTTGTTCTTGTGTCAGCTCTCCTACTGTAACAGATATCCTTCAACAATCCACCTGATAACACCTTTTTCACATTCTTGTGCTTTTTGTTGATTTTATTGTTTAAAATGTGCCCCGTGCACAGTGTTCCTAAGCACAAGAAGATTGTGATGTGTCTTACAAAGAAAACAGATGTGTTAGATAAGCTTCATTGCAGCATCAATCACAGTGTTGTTGACCATACACAGCGTTGAGGAATGAATACTGTGTTAAAGTGTCCTTGAACAGAAGCACAGAACAAAGTGATATGTTGATCAGTGGAAGAAAATGAAGTGAAAGCTGATAGGAAACTAACCCTCTGTTTTTCATAGGAGCAGTGCTTCCATATTTGCTCAGTGTTTATGGCACATTATCAGACTTCACTGCAATGAATAACAAGAGTCAAATGTATCTCACGAAATGGGTACTGACTGGTTGCCAACTGACATTATCAGATTAATTTCATATCACCTATCATAGTGTTTTACTTTGTTGTGAAACTACATATATTTGTGAGTAATTTAATAGAATGTTGTTCAGTCGCTAAGTTGTGTCCAGCTCTTTGCCACCTTGTGGACTGCAGCACGCCAGGTTTCCCTGTCTTTCACTATCTCCCGGAGTTGGCTCAGACTCATGTCCATTGAGTCGATGATGCTACCCAACCATCTCATCCTCTGCCTCGCTCTTTTCTTCTTGCCTTCAGTCTTTCCCAGAATCGGGGTCTTTTCCAGTGAGTCAGTTCTTCCCATCAGGTGGCCAAAGTATTGGAGTTTCAGCTTCAGCATCAGTCCTTCCAATGAATATTCAGGACTGATTTCCTTTAGGATGGACTGGTTGGAAGGAATTACAGTTCCAAAGAAAGAAACTTTATTTTACTAAAAAGTATAAGTAAAGCATAGATATTAACTAATCACTCTAAAATATATTTTTATATGTCACTTTGAACTCCCTGGTATGTCATTCTCTTAAAGAATTTTGGCTTATCGCTTTATAGTTGCTTCGAGAGTCTATTTATTATGTGTAGTTTTTAATGCTAATTGATTAGCTTTTGATACTTTTGAATAAGTGGGGAATATCTTAGTAGAATCAAATGGTGAATTAGGTAATTGTATTTACATAATGTTTTAAGGGATAAGTGAAAAGAGAAGGAAAAGACTCAAGTTGATTCAAAAGCAAAATTGAGAAAACAAGATAATTGGTGTATCCTTCAAGTCTTCTAATCCACCAAATATTAGACAAAACAAATTGGGGACTTGTCTTTAAATAGGAGATGTGCTAAGCATATTCTTACTTCAGATTTTTTTTAAAGCTATTTTGTGTTAAGATACTGATTTTTATCTAGAAGGGATGTTGAGGGCTACTAAAATCAAGCTCATAATATCACTTTTTGATCAATGTTTCCTTGTTGCCTGGCACTTAACACTATATTAATGCCAGGAAATAAATTTTATCTACTTCATCTTTAGGCAAGTTCTTATTCCCTTCTAATGACGCTGTTGTGCTCAGTGACAGAGTGGTGTCCAACTCTGCAGCCCCATGGACCTTAGCCACCAGGCTCCTCTGTCCATGGAGTTTTCCAGGCAAGGATACTGGAGTGGGTTGCCATTTCCTCCTCCAGGGGATCTTCCTGACCCAGGGAATGAAACCGAGTCTCCTCAGTCTCCTGCATTGGCAGGCGGGTTCTTTACCACTAGCACCGCCAGGAAAGAGTCGCTTCTAATTTAGATTTTTAGGAAACGGAGAGGGGGAGATATATTCTTTGAGACCAGTTATCATCTCAGCCAGGCTCTTAAGCTTCCTGGTTACTTGTCATTCAGCAACTCTACGGGAAGGTGTTTATAAGCTATAAGTCAGTGTGTTAATAATTTTTATTTCTTTTTTAAATTAATTCAATTTTGTAAAACAACAACAACAATTTTATTTCCTGTTTAGTACAGCTGTCTGTTCAGCCAAAAATCATTACTCATGGTTATTGGATATTTGTTTTGTATTTAGTAATCGTAAAAAGTGATATTATCAGGTATTTCTTAAGAAAACCCTGTGTGATTGGTGAAAATCATAATTTCATAGATGGAAAAACTGGGAGGTAGAAAAGCTGTAAATCTGCTTTCCAGTTAGAATATTCAGCCTCTGTTTTCTTGGTCTGTTTTGTAGGGTTTTTTTGAGGGGGGGAAGGGTGGTTCTCCTTTTTTAAAAAATTATCCCTGCCTTCCTATTTTAGAGAGTGACTTATATTTTGCAATATCTGATGTTTTTCTCCTGCAGAGATATTCCAATGCCCTTAGTCAGCTCAGGAGTGGAGCATGGTAACTTGAGAGAGCTGGCATTTGCAAGAATGAAAGACCTTGGAATACAGGTAAGAGTCTGACCGTTAACTGCAGAGATCAAAGTAATCTCAGAAATGAAAACCTGTGATGCTCTCACCTGATAAACTTACAGGTTTGGTCAAAGAGCTTTCATGCATTGAAGCCCTTCTTTCTGTGCAGCATGTTGAAGCTGAAGTAGTGGTTCCACAATCTCATCCCAGCCCTGTACCCCTCTGCTTTCTCTTAAAAGAGTGTGGGTTTGTCAATTTAATGGTTGTTTTCTCTTGCCTACTGAAATTGCCAACTATGTGTTCAGCTCCTTTTTTAGAAAACCTCTTTTCTTTTGAAATACTGAGTGTTTGATTCTTGACCAGTGGTTATAGACAAATACGACCTTTGAAGAAACAAGGATGACATGCTGAAATAATTACCGATGTTATTGTCCAGATATACCACTATGCCTTGCCCCACCGTGCCCCTGTGTCTTTTCATTTGCTTTTTTATTTCAGAAATCTTTACTAAGCACCTCTTTTCTGCTTTCTGTTGAAGTACAAAGAGCCCAGGAATCTGCAGTTTTAACAGGCTCTGTGGATGATTTTGAAGTCATGATATGGTTTAAAACTCAGTGCCCTAGGAGCTGTTTCTCAGAGCTGCTAAGAGGAAAGGCCAGGGGACATCTAGGCCTGAGCCTGCATCCTGGCCTCTGCTTTGAGCTTCTGATTCACTTGGTCTGGTACGGAGCTGAGGGAGGTTGTCACACACAGTGTAGATATGGACCACTCTTTGCAAGGCATTGATTTAAGGACTACATATCATGTTTGTGGACATACCCAAAACATTTTGTTCTCTTAGTTGTTTTGTTATAAAGAAGTTTTTCTTTTCTTTCTTTTTTTTTCCCCAAAAAAACTGTCTAGAGTTTGTAAACATTATTGGCTTATTCTACCAAAATAATTATAATAATTTAAGTTCTAGAAAAATAGCAACTGTATGTACAGTAATTGTTGTGATTTAGTCACTCGGTCATGTCCGACTCTTTGTGACCCCATGAACTATAGCTAGCCAGGCTCCTCTCTCCATGGGATTTCCCAGGCAAGAATACTGGAGTGGGTTGCCATTTCCTTCTCCAGGGGATCTTCCTGACCCAGGGATTGAACCCAAGTCTCCTGCATTGGCAGGCAGTTTCTTTACCACTGAGCCACCAGGAAAGCCCCATGTACAGTAATGAATAGCCCCAACAAGTATGTGACTGCTCTGCTCCCTGGTCCCCAGCTGTCCCAGTTCTTCAGCTCCTCCTCCTCTTGGCCTGGTTAGCCTGATAACCTCATCATCCAGCCATCATCTTTAACCCTGTACCCCTCTTAAACCTTGATAGCCTCTCATAAAGTAATCTAGGATTGAGTCTCAAGACTGGAATTCAGTCGTAGCCAAAAGTTATCTAGTTTACCTAGGCAGTGTCTTTACTGGAAAATAAGGACACCCCAATCTCTTTCGTAAAAAGCATTCTCCTCCCCTCCAAGAAAGGGCAAAAGCAGACAAGTGTTCTTTAGGAGCATGTGATATGGGTTCCCTGAGCATGGAAATAGCTTAGTTTTTCTAGAACTGAATAATGAGCTCTTATTTTTCTCATGAAATTCTCTCCATATATACACCAAATACACTATTAGTAGTATGGCTGCAAGACATCATCAACTTTCCTAGGGTGATCTTTTCTCACCGATGGAAAGCGTTAGAATCTTGGAAATAAGTTCTACAGTTTGTTCTATAGGGGAAAGTATAACATAGGACAGATAATAGTCACTGTGAGGATTTTGTAATTTTAAGTGTCAGGCTTCATAACCTGCACACTGGGTCATGGAGTAGAGACAAGAGTTCCATCCTGTAGCTTGGCGGTGCACACATCCACAGGCAACTTTGTGGTTCCTGGGACATTCAGAGAGCCAGTCTGCCACCATGACACCACGTTCAGACTGTATAATAATAAAAGCTCAAGGTTCTTTCTTTCCCCTCCTTCCTTGCATTCCTTCCTCCCTCCCATCCTTTATTCCACAGAGCCCTTCTCTGCAAAAGATAGCAGTCTTAGTTTCCCTCTTTCTGACATTTCTAAAATTTGATACAAATGTGGGGGTGCTAAAAACATTAACTGCTATAAAATGGTGAAGGTTTTCAAACATTAGGAATTCAATTGTTACTCTTCTATAGATATAGCTGGCGATTGCACTTTCAGATACAGTTATATCTTCTGGGTAAAACTATGTTCAAGTTTTTAGGAGGTATGTTCTTTACTTTCAATATTATGTATCGATCTCCTTTGGATTCTAAAATTTTAAAAACAATACAGTGCTAACTTCATATATTTCCATTTTGTTTTCCCCTATCTTCACATTTATTAAAAATGGCTTCGTTTTTAAATTCAGTTCTTTTATCTCAATGTAAATTATGTCCAGATGTAATTTTGAGCCCTGAATTTGGTGGAGAGGTTTCAGTAAAAATTGTATTAGTGACCGGTTTTATATTTGCCTCCCCTTCCCTCTTTCTTTTCTTTCTCTTTATTTTTTCCCCATTCCTCCCTCGCTCCTTCCTCCCCTTTCTTCATTTCTTTTGCTTTGTTTTTTTCACAGTGTCGTGATGTGAGAACCAGAGAGGTTGGAATCCAAGAAATTCATCACAAAGTCCGGCCATACCAGGTTAGTGTCCTCATTTTATAAAGATTAGGTCCTGAACATTACTCCTTGTCAAGCTTGGGCCTGTACCTGCTTATGTATCATGCTGTGTTTAGTTGCTCTGTCGTGCCCGACTCTGTGACCTCATGGACTGTAGCCCGCCAGGCTCCTCTGTCCATGGGGATTCTCCAGGCAAGAATGCTGGAGAGAGTTGCCATGCCATCTTCTAGGAGCTTTTCCCAACCCAAGGATCAAACCCAGGTCTCCCGCATTGCAGACGGATTCTTTACTGTCTGAGCCGCCAAGGAAGCCCAAGAAAACTGGAGTGGGTTGCCTATCCCTTCTCCTGGAGAACTTCCCAACCCAGGAATCGATCTGGGGTCTCCTGCATTGCAGGCAGATTCTTTACCAGCTGAGCTACCAGGGAAGCCCTATAGTTAGAACCAAAACCAAACTCTCAAAGTTAATGAATAAACTAAGAGCAAAGAGTCACTGAGAATCAGGGCAAGTCAGCAAAGCCAGATATGAAGGTCACTCAACACTAGAAGAGCCAGGTTAGGAAGATCAGGTTGGAACTTCATTATAGATCAATACTATTCGGCAGGACTTTCTGCAGTGTTGGAAATGACCTGTCATCTGTGCCACTAATATGGAGTCAGCTACCAGTCACATGTGACAGTTAAGCACTTGAAAGGTGGCTAGTGCAAAGAAGGACTTACTTTTTAATTTTATTTAATGTCACAGTGTCAAAGAATTCAAATATAAATAGGCAGATGTGACTAGTGGCTACCTTCAGGTAAAGCTGAGTGTCATGTGCTTATCTCTATGTGCAACTGTTGAGTTATTGCCCATTGGTGGTAATCAGGTGAAGAGATCACCCTCATCAACAGGGTTTCCATAAAACATATTTTTAATGAATTAACTTCTCTCCTGTAATGTCATCGTGTTAGCTATCTGCCAGATTTTTCTGTGGGGGTTCTCTTTCCTGTGGGAGCCTGTTTGAGAAAGGCTAGGAGAGATGAGATCTGCAGCTTTCTCTTCTGAAAATGAATTGACAGTTTTCACATCTCAGACCTTTTGAGGAAAAAGTAGACCCTGGCACAGTTAGTTCTTCTGCCAGATTCTTGTGCAGCCAACAAGAAGCTGCGGAGGAATGTCAGTGTCAATCTGACTGTTCACCCCACGGTGGGCCCAGTCTGCCCGTTTTTGGAGTGCATCTGAGTGTGACCATGCCCACATACGTAGCTTTCTCTGCGTGTCAATTGCTTAATATTTGTGCAGAGTACAAGGGCCACTTGAGCAGGATGCAAAAGTTACATCACCATGTAGAGTGCTGACACAAAGCTTCCCCTAAAACCCTTCTCTGGCCACTGTATTTTCTCTAACCTGTTAATCTCACAGTTAAGCACACTGTTGGGTTGGCCAAGAAGTTTTTTGGGTTTCTCCATAACATCTTACGAAAAAACCCAAATGCACTTTTCGGTCAACCCAACATTTTAAAGGTCCTGTGGGATACTTTTTCTTAAAATCCCATCAAGGAATGAGACCAACACATTTTTCCCCCCCTTAAAAAGCAGGTTTTAGTGGAAGAGGTGAGGACTAAAAACCATTGAGCATCTGACAGTTCTGGGGCCCAAGGGTGCTCCCAAGAACTACATACACATAATGTATAATTTTACCTTAGAGACTTTTCATAGAGGCTGAGAGATTTAAATCCATGGAACTATTACCTGAGCCAAACCCTGTAAGAAACTTAAGGTTAATGAGGTTCAAATATTTATGAAATGGTAAAACAGTTTTCCTCTTACATCTTCTATAGACAAGGCACAAATTCTCATTTATAGTCAGTGCTATTGAGAGGAGACAAGTAAAAAGAAACATAATTTGTGATTATTTATTCTCTATCCATAATTATAGATATTAGTTTAAATATATATAATTATAGAAATGTACTTTGTTCTCTAATTCTTTTTTAAAAAAAGTTTTGTGTGGCTTTTTATTGAAACAGGTTGAATTGGTGAGAAGAGATTATGTTGCAAATGGAGGCTGGGAAACCTTCTTATCGTATGAAGACCCAGATCAGGACATCTTGATTGGCCTCCTGAGATTGCGGAAGTGTTCAGAGGAGACTTTCCGTTTCGAATTGGTTGGGGGTGTGTCCATAGTCCGAGAGCTGCACGTGTATGGAAGCGTGGTCCCTGTAAGCAGTCGGGATCCCACTAAATTTCAGCATCAGGTATCCTGGACTGCATTTCTGTTTGACTGTGGTTAAGAAGTTGCTCAAAGGAGGAAAAGAGAAAGGGATGGGGCTGGGGGGAGAGGGAGGACAGAGAAGAAAAAAAGGAAGAGCAGAGGAGAAAGGAAAGTGTAGAAATAGAGGAACCAACACTAGTGTTGTTCAGAGAGGTTTTCTCTTTAAATTGTACCCTTTGGGGCGTGAGGGAGGGGAAGAGAGACGAATTGAGACTCAATCAAGTGGAATATAATAATAGACTGAACCATAGGAAATTGCTATTTTTGAAAGTCAGAAATGATCTAATACCAGCAATTTTGTGTGATTCAGCTATTTTGCAATCGAAGGAGTTGATAATGTGAAAGAAAGCACTTGTGAAATTTTAAAGCACTTTGTCATAGCAAGCTAAGAGATAGTGGCACACTATTCTGCTCCCCCAAACAACCTAAATAAATAACCACTTTTTTTCACTTTCAGGAGAGCAAGTTAAAACTGCTAATGGTGGATCTAGCATTAAACCCTCAAATAGATGATTTAAGAATATTGCCTGGTTTCCAAAAGCCTTTTAGAAACTGAAAGGGTGACTAATAATACAAGATTAGATGCCCCAGACTTTCATCACCTGGAGATTGCCTAGAACTTGTTTAAAAAGTCACTTGCTGTGACTAGATTACATCATCCACAAAATACCTTGGGATGGCTTTTGTTGCAGAGTTATTCCTAGTCTGCCACTGAGTACTTTTGGTATAACTGAATCACTTCTTTCCTTATGCCTATAAATGGGTTTTTGTCATTCTTTTAAAGAGTTTAGCAGCTACTGAACATCAGCCTTCTTGTTTTATGGACCTCTCTTAATGACTTCTCTCCTTCTCAGTTCCATAACCCCCTTTATTGCTTCTTTGTAGGGCTTTGGCATGCTGCTGATGGAGGAAGCAGAACGAATAGCCAGAGAAGAACATGGATCTGGGAAAATAGCTGTTATATCAGGTAACTGGGGGGAGGCATGGGGGGAGGGCAAAGTTCATGATTCATTTACATTATTAACTTGGTTCCACAATTGAAAGTATCTCAGGCTGTTGCAGGGAGGGGGACCCCTTCCAGGACCCAAGAGTGCGCTTTTGTCTGACACTCAGAAATCAGTTGTCCAAGGAGACACACATGCTGACAAAGAAGAGACTTTATTGGGAAAGGGTGCCCAGGTGGAGAGCAGAAGGGTAAGGAACCCAGGGGGACTGCTCTGCCACGTGGCTCACAGTCTCGGCTTTCTTGGTGATGGGATAAGTTTCTGGGTTGTCTCTGGCCAGTCGTTCTGACTCAGGGTCCTTCCTGGTGGTACACGCACTGCTCAGCGTAGATGGATTCCGCGAGAAGGATTCTGGGAGTTTGGTAGGACATATGAACTGGCGTCTCTGCTCAGCGTAGATGGATTCCAGCGAGAAGGATTCTGGGAGTTTGGTAGGACATATGAACTGGCGTCTCCACTCTGCTTTTGACCTTTCCCAAGTTCTTCCAGTTCATGGTAGTTTGTTATTTCCATGTTCCTTTTCAGGACCTCCTATTTAAGAGAACTCATGCAAGTGGTTAGTTACTATTCAGGCCTGGCCAAGGTGGGCAGTTTTAGTCAGTGGTTCCCCTAACAAGTTCTCTCTTGCCTCTGTTTATGATTATTATGTTCAGAATTGGGCAGAGCCGAATAGGGAAAGATTGGTGGTGCTCTGGCACAAAGAAAATTCCTGTGAGCAGTCAGGCGGAATGGGCTTGGTGACACTCTTTGGTGACGAGACAAGTAATCTGTACTCTCTCTTCCTCACGGCCTCTCCTGTCTCCTCATGTTCCCTATCTTCATGGCCACCCTCCTGTACCCTATCTCCTCATGGTCTCTTGTGCTTCGTTGCCCAGATACTCTGTCTGGGAAAATGAAATTAGATGAATGAATCTAAGAAAATCATAAGTTAATGTGGTAATTGTCAGTATTGTTCATAAAATTAAAATAGAACCTCGTTGCTAGTACAAGGTGTTTCAAGCCGGTGTTCCTTACTCTTTAAAAATTGTTTTCAATGACTTTGTTCCTGAGGAACAGATTTCTTCCCCTGTTTGGAAGTGTTCCCCTTAACCTCACCTAGGACATCAGGTGACTGGGGAAGTGGGCGTGAAAAGATAAGTCTGGTGTAAGTGGAGCAAAAAATAACATGACTACACCCACTCACTCGTACTCTTCAGCGTCATACCCTTACAGAAATCTGCTGTTCTCAATAAGCAGCTAATGTGGTGAAAGCCCTGATCAAGATTCAGCTTACTTTTCCCTCCAGCATTATTAAATGAAACTTCCAAAAGAAAAAGAAATCCAAAAAAAATCCAAAAAAAAAAAAAAGTTGTTGCCAATCAATAAATCAATACCTTTGCCCAGATTTTAATGATTACAGTTATGAAAATGTAATGACCCAGGCTCACTTAGTCGATCGTTTAATCTGGCTGTGGTTTTTGGCATTTTCCAGACAGATTAATAGAGCATTTTTTAATACTGCTAGCTCTCTCTATTTTTCTGTTACCTGGAATATTGTTTATTGACGTGTAGGTGATTTACAGTGTTGTTCTAGTGTCTGCTATACAGCAAAATGACTCAGTCATATACATACACACCTTATTTTTACATACCTTATTTTCTTTTCCACTATGATTTATCCCAGGTTATTGAATACAGTTCCCTGTGCTGTGCCGTAGGACCTTGCTGGTTATCTGTTCTAAATGTGACCGTTCACCTCTACCAGCCCCACATTCCAATCCATCCCTCTACCTGCCGCCTTGGCAGCCACAAGTCTGTTGGGTTTTTTCTGCTACCTTAAACCCTCTAAAGAGGTGGGAATTAAATGAAGCTCACCTGATCGGTGCCAGTATTTGTAAGCAAAAAAGGTTTACTTCTCAATTGTTCAGCTTGTGGTTGACAAGAAATCAACCTTCCCCGGTACCAGGAAAGGGCCAGACTGACTCAGAGCTCATTATACGTGTGCATCTATGCATCACCTAAAATTTTAGCTGGCCTCTTCTACCAGCAAACTCTCAGGGTTTTCAGTAGTACAGTGCTTTCCAAGCCTTCCTGTGTTTGTGAATCATCTGGAGATCTTGTTAAAGTGCAGATTCTGACTCGTTGGGTCTGGGTTGGAGCCTGAAGGCCTAGGTGTCTAACCGGCTCCTGGTAAGACCATTCTGATTGTCTTCAGACCACACTTTGAGTAACAGGGCTTTAGTATTCTCTTCCAAATGTAGTTTTCTGTTTCAGATCACTAAGGTAAAGGTATTCTCTGTGACCCTGGCAGCGCCTGCATTCCCAAAGTCTGACATGCAGCTGTGTGATTTTCTGGTATCTGTGGGAACCTGATGAATTTTAAAACTGAAGGGCATCTGCATTCTATCACTTCTCTGCATTAGTTAATTTGCCTTCATGCTATCTATCTCTTTTTTGAAATGTTATGTGCAGAGAGAAGCCTCTGACTTGCCCGGAGACACATTCAGTTACCTGTAAGAACCTCAGTTTCTGTTTTTTGAACAGTGTCTTACTAAGTAGAAATCAGCATCTGTGCTCTTTCTAGGTTATTATTTCTAACCTAAATAATAGCTCAATTTCAGATCATCTGCTTGTGGAACTTTTAAAATAACAGGAAGAGACTTGCTAAAAAATAACAGGGAAGAATCTTTCCCATTATTAGCTGTCACAGGTAGACTACTGGATTTCTGTACGGGGGTTTCTCTTGGTCAGCAGGTTTTTACAGGAGCAGCCCTGGAAACGTGTTCTTGGTACTCAGGTGAGTGCTGTGGGAGGAAGTAGTTCTTCCTGTCTCTGATCTATGAGCCTCACCAGTGCCCTGTACTGAAGAATCCAACTAGGGCCTTGACTTTCTGTTTGACCCAAGATCTGATCCCCCTTCAGATGAAAACACCAAGAACATTTACTCCGTGTGTGATGCATTGTTTTTCTCTAATTTAGTAACATATTAGTGTTCTATTTGAGTTTCTCAATCAGACACCTGAGGTGTCCATTATTCAGAACTTCAAGGAGGGCAAATTCTTGTTGGTTTTTAATCATAATGTGTTTCTTGGTTGGTTGTTTTCCTTCCCTTATTTGTTCAGTTGACTTTGGTCTTCCTGATTTAAGTACAATGCTGTGTGTGTGTGTGTGTGTGTGTGTGTTTTAATTAGTTTTTTTTAAAGAGTCAGTTATTCTCCGTAAGTTGATCCTTAGAATGAAAATCTTATGATAGTACTGGTGCTTCTGTGCTGCATTTATTCCCAGTACTTCATTAGACATGATGTGTAAGAAGAAACACTTGGCAGGGGCGTTAAGATTCTGTTCCTGTATTGACAGCAGCTCTCCTTGTGATGATCTTGAATAATGTTGCTTGAATCTCCACGGACTTTTATTTCTTTACTAAAAATAAGTGTTAGGTTATCATTTGCCATTCTAACAGTCTAGAATTCTGCCCCTTAAATAACTTCATGTCTTTTAGTTCTCTACAAGATCAATTGTGTTTTTACTGGTTTCATATTAAGTAGATTCTTTTATGAAACCATACCAGGAAACCCTTTAATTTCATTTGTAATTAATCTCAGTCTCATGCAGTTTGGGTATTTGATGATAGAAGTGATGATAAAGTTTCCCGTAGGTAGCTAATCCTATCTGTGACATGAAGTGGATGCCAGTCCACTTCAGTCCCAACTGGTGACACTTTGTGATCTGTGTCCTACCTTGTTCCCCCACCACTCCCTTTTCCTGACCTTGTCCTTGATTTGTAAATCTATCCTTGTTCTGGTCTGTAGGCTTTTGTATAACTTATACACGGGGTGGCCTAGATATTCTGTCCTGGCATAACTAGTAGCTTGAAGAAGGGAGAGACAGATCATTTATCATTCTGGTTACAGTGACTGTAAGAGGCATGCATTTATGTAGAATTCTTTTAATTACACTCTGATTCATTATGATTTCCCTTTATCTTGCCAGCAGATTGTTTCTGTTACTTGGATTTATAATCTTTGATTCTGCCTCTGGACAATATGACTACACAGTAGATCTGATTTGAATCACTAGTCAGAAAGACTCCGTATATTCTGTTTTTCCATATTAAAACATAAATTGTTTTTTATTTGTTGTCTCAATATATTTTGTTTATAAAAGGTCCATGTTGTGTATTTCACAGCTGATTTATAAAAGATTAACTTGATATCTACATGAGAAAATTGAAAACCCATTTATCAACATCAAATGAAACACTGTCTCAAAGTGTCCTTTTTTTTTTTTTTTAATATTTATTTGGCTGTGCTGAGTCTTAGTTGCGGCATGTAGGATCTTTGATCTTCCTTGTGGTATGCAGGATCTTTTTTTTTTTTTTTTAAGTTGGGGTATGTAGCTGTGGAATGTGGGATCTAGATCCCTGACCAGGTATCAAACGTGGGCCCCCTACATTGGGTGTGTGGAGTTTTAGCCCCTGGACCAGCAGAGAGGTCCCTCAAAGTGACTTTTAAGTTTATTCATTCTGCCTAAGTATATAAAATTGTCTTGGTAAACTGTGCGTTTTCAAATTAACCATCAACTCTAAATGTTAAAGCAATGATGAATTTCTTAATACCAGAATCACTGCATTTCTGGAGCGTCTCCTGCGTGCAGGGGCCCAGGGCTGAGAGGGCAGAGAGAGGAAGGAGGAGATGATGCCCTGCCTCTGTAGCACGTGGACCAGAGCAGCCCACTCAGTCTTCACCCTGCAGCTTGTCCGTAACTGCAGAGGAAGACAGGTTTTTCCCTACTTAGACTATTTCTCAACTCAGGATTAGCTGCTTCAGCATGAGAAAATAATCTTTTTCTACATATAAAAATGGGTAAATCAGTAGTATGAGAATAATCAGCTTATTTTCATAAGCTGAAATAATATGCAGGCAGGAAATAATAGTTAATCGCTGCTAAATACCCAAGCAATTAATTAGTCCCTATTAAGTCCAAG